GAGGCCCGTGGGATTCTCTGGTGCTCTTCAGAAATGGGCTGTGCCAGCTGTCCTCACATTGCGTGGCGAGGGTTCATCACCTTCTGCACAGTGTCGTGGCCTGGGAGAGCTGGCCGCAGCTGGGAAGGGGTAAATGGGCTGTTCAACGTGGTCCCTTGAGTGCGGGACAAGCTGCCTGTGCTGAGGGTGCAGGATGATCTGAGCTCCCACTGCCCGTGATTCAACCATGCCAGGGTCCCTGGAAACGGGGGCTGCCCTGTGGATTCACGAGGCTCAGCTCTGTGCACATGCACGCAGGGAGGTGTGTGTTTGCTGAGGACAGGTCATGTAGGCAGCAAATACTGGATAGTGAGTGCCCTGAGGGGACACTGTTATGTGGAGAAAATGTAAAGAGGTTGAACGCTGCTCTTGGTGGAGCTTTTCATCACCAGGACTCACAGCTGGCCTGGCACAAACTAGCAGAGCAGTTTTGACCCACTCTGCTCACTTTAGGAATTACACGTATAGTTTATAGTTCCTGTAGTTTAGCATATGTTTCCACTGTAAGTGCTTATGTCTCTTTCAATAGGTGCTGGCTGAGTCTAATCCTGCCCGATATGGCTTCGTCTGGCGTTGGTTTGATGAGGTCTATATCCTGCTGGATCTGCTGCTGCAGCAGCAATATCTGTCCAGGTGCAGTGCCTCTTTTTCTGAAAACTTCTACGGCTTAAAGAGGGTCGCAATAGGAGACTCCAAGCAGCAATCGCTGGCCAGCGCTGGCCTGCCAAAGAAGCAGCACTGGAAGTCTCTACTTCTGCTTGTTCTTGTTCCTTACCTGAAAGGAAAGCTAGAGAAACTGGTGTCCAGCCTGCGGGAAGAGGATGAGTACTCCATCCACCCTCCCTCGTCATCTTGGAAGCGCTTTTACAGAGCCTTTCTAGCTGCCTATCCCTTCGTAAACATGGCCTGGGAGGGCTGGTTTCTTATCCAGCAGTTGTGCTACATCCTCGGGGAAGCGCAGCACCATTCGCCCATGCTGCGGCTGGCTGGTGTCCGCCTGGTGAGACTGACTGCGGATGATATCCAGGCCCTGGAGAAGAAATTTGCAGTAGCTGCCCCGAGTCAGCCACACAGGTACAGCAGAACAGGGCTTAGCAGCTTCTTGCCAGGGGGTGGGTCGAGGTAGAGATCGTGCTCAAGGTAAAACTGTCTTGTTCTCCAGAAATTTTTCAAGATAAAGTTTATATTTGGCAAAACCCTTCTCCAAAAGAGAATGTCATGATAATAAGTGTAAATAAGGAACCAAGTATTAGCGATTAGCTTCACAGAAGTTTCTATAATAAAATCGAAATGCTTTTTTGGCACTTCAGCCTCCATCCCATAAAATCTTCAGCTGCACTTTTCTGTCATGGGAAGCAGATTGTACCCATTCTGCTAAAAGGACTGAAACTTGGCTCAGTTGGTTTTCCTGAGCAACAACTAGTCATGGTCATGTTTAATGTCCTGCAAAATGATGGTCCAGGTGTGAAATGACCTGAGATCCAGGTCCCTTCAAACCAAACTTTTCTGATTTAGACTTCTGAAAAAAAAACAGGTCTTGAAATTTTCCCAGTGATCATATGCTCTGCTCAAACCACAAAGACACATCCCACCAGTTGCCCTATTACAAACATGGGACATGATAACATAGTTATTTAGCATTACGAGGCTGTGTAGAGCAGTGACTTACCCCTAATCTTTTTTGCCTTGGTTTGCAGAGGGACAAATGAGCAGTACTGATAATTTCTTCATGCCTTTTCTCCCTGCTACAGCATTAAGACACAAGTCCGGTCAGCACTGAAGAAGGCACTGGGTGGCATTGCTTTCTCCTTGTCCACCGGGCTGTCTGTCAGCGTGTTCTTCCTGCAGTTCCTGGACTGGTGGTACTCCTCGGAAAACCAGGAGACCATCAAATCTCTGACAGCGCTGCCTACTCCGCCGCCGCCAGTGCACCTTGACCATGGGGCGGACTCAGCTCTGTTGCCTAAACTGAAGACCATGTGCCCACTGTGCCACAAGATTCGAGCCAATGCCACAGTCCTGTCCACGTCAGGCTACGTGTTTTGCTACCGCTGTGTGTATAATTATGTGAAGACTCACCAGCGATGCCCGGTGACGGGCTATGCCACCGAGCTGCAGCACCTCGTCAAACTGTATTCCCCTGAGAGCTGAAAGGGCAGCTTCATGCCACCGTAGACGTGTCTCTGGGACTAAATGGCAGGACCACTGGGTAGCAGTGAGCCTCAGTTTGCCCTTTATGATGTCCTAGAGAAGACTATTGACCACTACAACTTGGAAGTGATCTCTAAAGCTCATTTGAATCTTTAATTTTGCTGCCGTGGTAAATTTTGGTGAGACTCCTCCCTTCTCATTTATTTAGCCTTTCAAACATCCATAACAAAGCTCCAGAAGGGCAGGACAGTCGTGGCTTGTCAGTCAGCACAGAAATGCCTTCAAAGGCCCAGGGAATGGGAGCAAACATGATGTGGATAAGAAGAATGCAGGTGTGAGGACCATATATGTGAGTACTGCTGACAAGAGTCCTGCTTGAGAGCACGGTCAGCAAATTGGAGATGCGCAAAAACTGTCCAGGCAGCTTATTCCAGCCTCAGCAGCCTCACACACTTCAGGTCTGCTGGGGCAGGCGCTGGCACCACTGATTTTCAAAGAGGTAGAGACGGGTTCAGGCCTTTCTTCTGATCCTGGTGTCCTTAAGAGTCTCCATGTTTTTTCAGGCTAATCACCTCTGAGTTAGGTGATTATGAGAACATTACACCCCTAATTCCCATCAAGAGTTCTAAATTAAGACTCTTTTGACTCTTTAAAGGAACAAGGGGTGATGTGTACAAACACTGACACAAGACCATGAGGGAGAAAGACAAGGCAAATTAAAGCAGTAATTGTGCCAGTTTAGGAGAATATTATCTGCTTTTATAAAGCTGTTTTTTTTTTCCTTGATTTAGAACCCATCTGCATTTATATTTGTTTTTCCTAATGTTTGGGAAATGAAGTTTGCTCTTCTGGGATCTTTACTTGCACAATGGAGACTAGACAAATGCTGCTTTTATTTTTGCAGATGATAATCTTGGATATAAGATTAGTATTTTGCAGGCTGAACATTTTTAATTTTTGCATTGGAATTTAGTATTACATTGTAGTTATTCCAGTCCCAATCTAAACGGATCATATAGCACATTCATATCACAAAGAAGCACAGGAAAGAGCAGGAAATGTGCATGATGTTATGGTTGCTCCTTGCCTCAGACCACTGATCAAACATTGATTTTTCTTGATGGAAGGTGGATTTTCTTGACTCAGCTCTAGGGAGCGGCAGTTAGCTACTCCAGACATCATGGTGACAAGAATAGAAAGCAAAGTCTGCTGCACAGAATATCTGGTCTTTCCAGATTAATAGATATGCTCTTAACATTTAATTCATAAACCAATGATCTCATTTTAGCCCTGCTTCGGAAGATAGAAATCAATAAAATCCTCCCTCATGTCTGAGCAAGATAGCAAGTGTCTTGAATCAGCTGGAAAAATACAGTAATTAGCATCCCCCCAAAGGTACTCTGGATGTCCTCCTGTTGGGCCCTGGCTGCCTTCCACTCCATGTCCCTCCTCCACCGTGCTGTACAATGCTTATTAGTTCCTGCCAAGATGAGATTTGGACGACTGGGACGTACTGAGAACCACCCACATTTAAGCCTCACAGTTTAGGACAGCTCTAATTATTCTTGTGAATGTTAAATTGCTCTTTAAACCTACCTAGCTAACAGACATTAAGTCCTCAGTGGTGACAGACTTGGCAGTTACCTGGCAGATTTTGAAGTGTTCTTGCAGGTGACTGCAGAATTCCAGTTTGTACACGAGTGCTTCTGTTAACTGTCCTGAAAAGCCAAATACCCGTCTGTTACATTAAGCTGCTCTAAACGCTACAAAACCGATTCATATTACACAAACACTCCCTTTATCTGCTTTGTACATTTAGTAGTGGTGTGCAGGCCATGATGGTATCCAGACCTGCAAGGAACGACTTGTTAAGGAAAAAAATATACCAACTCTATTACACCAGTTTTTAGATTTACATGCTAACTGTGAGTGCTATGCACTCATGTATCATATATACACTCAGGAAGCTTTGTTGTGTTGCTTAATACAATTATTTCATCATTAACAGTGGCACTGGAGTTACCTAACACATTACTGTCACTGTGTAATGCTTTCCTAGCATTAAAAAAAAAAAGTTTAATGAAGGCATA